GGCCGGTCCGGAACCAGGCCAGCCCGGCCCGTTTGACACCTCTAACTAGGAGTGACTTCTCTCTCAAAATAAAATGAAAAATAAAAAGAAAAATTGTGACAAAGGAATGCCTTATATTTGGCTTATGCATCTGTCATGGAAACAATTCTTTTGGAGGGTTTACTAGGTATATCTTTCATGTAGATCATTTGAATTTTCATCAAAAACCTTAAACTTAAGCAAATTTCTATGCCATCCTAACATTTGGAATTCTTTTTATGCTGCCTCAACTTCACTGAACTGATATATTATGTTTTTGCTTTACGTAGGTGAACAAGCGAAAGCCGTATCACAGTGTCAACTTCGTGATTGCACATGATGGCTTTACCTTGTATGATCTTGTTTCATACAATAGTAAGGTATATGTTTAGTTTGATATTTTCATTCTTCTTTAACGGCTTTTATTGTTGAAACGGAAAGGGTCATATATAATATCGCTCTACTTTCAAATATTGTTTGTATTTGTCCTTCGTCATACTATTCGACTATATATACCCCTATCATTATATTGTTGAACAAAAATACCCTTCATCTGTTAAAGGATCCAGTCCCAGCCCTAAGATAGACAGGTGGAGAGCTGTTACACATTTTAAAATACCCGATTAAGTTGCCCAAACCCATTACCCGACCCATCCTAGAATCCTATTCTAAACCATCTCCTCTTTCAAGCCCCAATATCCTCCATTTTCCCCTGTAGAAATCGCTGCAAAAATTCCAAAACTACCGCCAAGAATACAAAAAGGAGGCAGCTTTACCACATTACAACCCCTTGGAATTGCACTAACCAAAGCTCACCTAATCTCAAAACATTCGTTGGACCGTGATCATCAAACTTGTCCTCCTACCAAAGCTCACCTAATCTGGAATTTTCCTTCATGAAACACCATGTCTCCAATGCTAATAGCACTACCATCTGTAGTCCCAAAAAGCACCATGAGAACAATGCCATTGCCATCACAGTAGCCAGTATAGCTACCAATATTATCTTCATCTTCTCGATTTCACAGGTTTAATTCGCAAAGATGGACATTGTCTCTTTTCTAAATTAAGCTCTTCCCTTTGATGTAAGTTCAGTAAATTAGTGCATAGAATCCCCTTTCAATCTCAAAAGCTCTATTAGCAAGATGATTTGCCAAAGCATTTCCTTCACGGAAAGTATGCAAAAATTGGACTTCACATTGTCGCGTCTTTTATCAACCTGAGCAAAAATTATCCTTTTAATTAAGTTTGTAAATTGTTTTACTCCATCGAAATTTCTAAAAATTAATGGAAGCTAAGCTCAAACAAAACCCAGAAAATTTTTCTGCCAACATAAACCACGCCGACTCAAAGGTTTCTATCAAAAAAAAAAAAAAATCTCTTCATTGACAACCTTCCGTGGAAACTTTGAACGAAGGGATTCATTTGACAATTTCTAAAGGGTGAACAGTTCTTTATCCACCATGATTAAGGTAGAGAATGATATAAGTAATTGAAGTTTCTTACTAATGGTCAAACGAGAAATAAATATACTTCAGAAGTCGATAAGGATATGATGCGAGGCTTCTCAAATTTTCATTAGGAGTTCTCTAGAAAGGTGAGAGTTTAGAACAGGATTCTAGGATGGGTCGGGTAGGTTTTGGGCAAATTAATCGGGTGTTTTAACTCTCCACATGTCTATTTTAGGGCTGGGTCCGGATCCTTTGACGGATGAAGGGTATTTTTGTTCAAAAGTATAACGGTAGGGGTATATATAGTTGAATAGTTTAACAGAGGAAAAATATAAAAAATATTTTAAAATAGAGGTGTATATATGACCCTTGTCTGTTGTTGAAAATATGAAAACTAGTACATCATATGGATTCGGATGGTGAAAATTACAGCATAATGATGCTAATGGCGAAGGTGGCAATGACGGATGCAATGATAATTTCAGTTGGAATTGTGGAATTGAAGGTAAAGATGAGGTTGAACCCACTTATTTATTCTTTCCTTTCTTCCTGTTTTGCTTATGTAAACTAAGAGCTTGTTTGGAAAGCCACAAAGGAATTGGGTGTAATTACACAATTTGACCTGTTTGTTTGGCCTAGTAATTACTTGGTTAGTAGGAAATTTGGTGTAACCGAGAGGGAGTGATTACACTCTCCAATTCTCAAGGAGGGGTAAAGAATTGGGTGTAATTACATGATGTAATTACAAGGTTTCAAACTCTTCCCCTTCTCTTCAAATATTTTTTCTTAAAACTCATACCTCTTTCACTTTTAACTGTCCTCCACCCTTCACTGCATTTTTCTCATTCAGAAACTTTGTTCTAATTAGCAGAATTGACCAGTCCTGTCTCTAGCCCCATGCTCGTGGCACTTTCATTATAGTGACTCAGGTTATTGAAAGTGGTTAAATAGCTACTCTGACAAGTATTATCATTATTTTGTTAAATAATAACTGCTTAATATGCATTATTATCTTAAAGTATCATTAGTTATATTAATTGATATGGTTTTGCAAAATATGATAATTTTCTTTACAGTAGACATCCTTATCTAAAATTAGGACCTTTTATTACTGAGCAAAAGTAGTTCTTGCATTATTACTCCTTTCACAAAAATTTATCATCTAGTTATTCTCACTGTCTGTGGTTGTTAAAAGACTTACTACTCAGTACTTTAATATAAATTATCTCTCTTCCTTAAAAAAAATAAATTAAAAGACTATCATCTCTCATATTCCCTATTTTTAATACCTCATATATATTAGATATTCCTTATTAATATATATGTTTTTCACACAATAAAACTTATCCACATGTTTATTTGAAAAAAGAATTATTTAACTTTGTAATTACACTTGTCCAACAAAACATGACAGAGAGAATTACAATGTAATTACGTTCTAACAAGCAAACAAGTCATTGTAATTACTATACTATGTAATTACCACACTATGCAATTACTACCCTAGTAATTACATAGCCTGGTAATTACATATGGCTTTTCAAATAGACCCTAAAACTTTTTTGTCTTTTCACATTTATATTATCATATCAGGCTACTCCTTCCGTCCCCAAAAAGATGATACTTTTCGATTTCGAGAGTCAAACTTCTTAACTTTGAGCATGAATTCGGACGTAGAATCTTTAAGTTTTTTTAAATAAGATTTATATATTTGAAAGCTACATAAAAAGTACGATAAGTCACAATAATTAACAATTCAAAATATTTAAAAGGTATATGAAAAAATCGTGGTCAAAGAACAACTCATTTGAATCTCTAAATCCAAGAAGTATCATCCTTTTTTGGACGGATGGAGTATTATTATCTTTTACCTTGTTTGGTACAATCACAAAAATATGACCATGCGTTAAACTTTTAGTCTTTCCTTAAGGAATCATATATTCTGCTGGAGTCCAAGATTTTAGCAATATTTTTCTTCCAATGATAGATGCTGAAAATGTAAAGTTTATTCTGTCCTCAGGCTATTACGCCCTACATGTTTTATTTTTCTAAATTTTATTTTACACATTGTCATTATTAATTATGTTATTAAATTTTATTTGGAATCTTAGACTTGTGGGCTATTGCATATTAAATAATACTCCCTCCGTCCCAATTTATGTGGCGGTGTTTTACATGACCCTTGATAAGAGGGTGTGAAGGTCGAGTATTAGGGTAGGAGGTTAGTAGGTACCCGAGCGTCTTCCTTCCTATACCAGTAGTACTAATATGTATTCCCGTATTTTTGTATTCTTAGATTTTTATTACTCCCTCTGTTTTAATTTAAATGACACACTTTCCTTACTAGTCCGTTCCAAAAAGAATGACACATTTCTTCAATTGGAAATAATTTAACTTTAACTCTTCATTTTACCCATTTTATCCTTAATGAGAAGCTTTTGTAAGCACACAAATGTCATGGCCCCACAAAACTTTTAAGACCACAAGTTTCAAAAGTCCTTTTTTTTCCCCTTAAACTCCGTTCCGAGTCAAACTACCTCATTTAAATTGAAATAGAGGGAGTACTACGTGATGTTTCTTTCGCTTCGGTCATCCTATTACTTTGTTGGTGCTACTGCTTCTTATATAACTTCTACGTTATCGTATTTCTTTTCATTATTTTGGTGCTTTCCTTGAGCCGAGGGTCTATTGAAAACAACCTCTCTATCCCACAAAGGTAGGGGTAAGGTCTGCGTATACACTACTCTCCCCAGACCCCACTTTGTGGGATTACACTGGGTATGTTATTGTTGTTGTTTGACTGGGCACAAAGTTTAAGAAAAAAATAAAGACTTTTAATACTTGTGGTCTAAAATAAGTCATAGATAGTGTGACCAAAAATTATCTCATTAAGAGTAAAATGAACATTTTAAAGTTAAATTGTTACTAAATACTAAAAGATGCCATTCTTTTTCGGACTGACTAAAAAGAAAAATGTGTCACATAAATTGGGATAGAGGGAGTAATAAAGGTCTGCGATTTTGTCTGTTGTTTGGAAATTAATCCAAATTACATTGCAGTGAGATATCATTTGTTGTATCTTGGCTTCCACTTTTTCTTTCTTCTATCGGTTTAAGTTAGAAAAAAAACAATGGATTATTATGTTCTAGCCAGCAGTGATGTGGCAAAAACGAAGTGAGAGCATGAATATGACGTTTTTGCTCACACTAGTAAAATGATGAGTTTTAAATCTACCAAATGGTTATCCCTGTTCTCCAAGAATGAAGTGAATACTGTATCTGAGGTAGATGCTTGTGGGAACAACCTAGCTGGATACAGCAGCCAAAAAGAGTGTCGGCTCAAAAAAGCAGTATAGAATGGTATAATATGATGAAGTGAAGAATTCAATCCTTAAAAATAGATAATAATGCCTTGACAGCGAAGCATACTAATTTTTGGCTTAAGTAAAACTAGCTTTGTCCACTTGTATACCGAGCCATTACTTGCCTTTGATATTTATGTGTAGTGTATTCCTTTTAGGATTTACTTTACCGTNTTTTCGCATTGCGTTCGCGGCAAATGAAAAATTTTCATTTGGCACTGATGATTTCACAGGTGTGATGCTCATCTGCTCAGTTAACAGCATGTGCATTTCTTTTCTTGCAGATATTGTGAATGAGTCAGTAGCTATCCATTGGTTCCACAATTTCTTTTTCCATGAGCTGATCTTAAATGGAGAAATAAGGATTCATATAGCCGACCCCAACTTGTTTGGGATTAAGGCGTAGTGTTTTGTTTTTTTTGTGACTATTGAGTTTATTTGTTACAGAATTTGTCCTACCTTGTTCAACAAGAAATAAAATACTGCCATATAATTTTAGGGCCACACTTTTGATATAGTGCGATAACAAATGTCATGTTTCGATGTTTGTTTCGGCTAGTTTCGGTTGAAGTATTGGTTTCTCAAATCCTCATAAAAAGGGTTATTTTGACATACTATGATTCCAAATTTAATATTTCAATTTACTTATTGCTGTTCTGATTTTGGTTGCATTTTTTGTATTTGAGCCTTCGGAGATTGTATAGGGCGTTTAAATTCCTTAATGTATTACCTACTCTTACCTTTCCTTGATTATTCCCTAGCTTCAGTAGTTTTCTTGTTAATAGTGTTATATATGTATTAGATGTCCTAACCTTATTATGTTTTTGCAAGTTTACCTTTCTTTCTAAATTCTTGTACATGCTATAAAGGGAACACCAATGATGCTAATGGGGGATGAATATGGGCATACCCGCCGTGGAAATAATAACAGTTATGGACATGATACAGCTATCAACAATTTCCAGTGGGGGCAAGTATGATATTATGTTATCTCCATTGCTGTTACTTCTTTCCTGTTATTGCAAGTATTAACTTCTTTCCTTTATTGAATGTAACCCAATGAACTTTGTCAATCCAGTTGGAAGCAAAGAAGAATGATCACTTCAGGTTCTTCTCCAAGATGATAAAGTTTCGACAGTCACACAGTGTTTTTAAAAAAGAAAATTTCCTTGACAAGGTAATAATGTTGTCTACCTGGTGTCCGATTTAAATTTAATGGCAACTGTACTACTGAGAGAGAGTTAATTTTAAAAATGAATTCTGTGTGTAATTTCATTTGTGGCAATATTCTTTGTTTTTAAGTATGAGTGCAACAGAAAAAGCTAATGAAAGAGTGCCTGTGAAGTAATGATCACGAGTATGTGATCAAAATGATACAAATGTCTATTTAGACCTTCTGATTCGTGGTTGGAGTTGGTGGGACTTAACCTGAGGGTGCTAAAGGTCAGTCTTTTTGGGGTCCTCTCCGAGGAACATACTTACATGGTGTTTCCTCACATGACATATAGTTAGTTTAGGTTATCGCATCTATGATCCGTAAGTCCTTTTATAGGCTGTTTCTTTTTCACATGTTCGGAAGAATTAATCAATGTTGGACCCCTCAAGTACTGATGGTTCTCTTCAAGGTGTTTGAGATATTTCTTGCTATTTGAATCTTTTGGTGCCTGCTATCATTCTTTTTTTTTCCGGGTGAAATAATGAAATTAGCTTGCATATCACTAAATAAAGATAGGTGCATTTCCATTTGTTAGTTTATAGATATGTATAGTGTAGTCTTGTCCCACATTGGAAGAGGAGTAATATCTCATTGTAGTGTATAGCTATAAATAAGGAACTCTTGTATTGTATTTATCATCCAATATCAATAACATATTTTCTCCCGTGCCTTCTCACATGGTATCAGAGCATTAGTGAGAAAAGATCGATGTGCGTCATTCCAGCGTTAACCGGGAAGAAAGAACTTAGTCATTGTGTAATTTTTCTGGTGACCTAAGGCTTGTCTAAGTGAAATTCACTTTCTGTCGGTGTTGTGCTAAAACCAACACCACCGCGAGGTAGATCACCCTCCGACTACCAACCCCTGAAATTTTATCCGGCAGAAAAGCCGCCACACTCCTCCACGCGCCGGCAACAACTTTTCCGGTGAGGGTTCCAGCCATTTTTTCGCGAAGCTTCTTCAGGACACTGTGCTCTCTTCAAAATTCCGAGCCTACCCATCTAATTCAAATCAAATTCCGGCCACTTTTATATTTTTCCTGCGTGAACAATGACCTTTCTGACCATTTTTTGAAAATATTTCTTCAGGACAGCTTGCTCGCAAAGGAATTCCGAGCCTATCCATCCTGGTTACGACAAATTCCGACAACTTTGGAATTTTCCGGCGAGCTACAGTGTTTTCGGCGTGAACAGTGTTTCCGGCACAGAACAGTGTTCTGTTTTCCTGCTGTAAACAGTGTTTTTCAAGCTATTTCTTCAGTTTTCTCACAGGAGTTACTTATTTCCACTATTTCAAGTTAACCCTACTACTACAAATTGTAGCGACATGGGAACCGATGCTTTGAATAGTCGGATGGTTTCTTTAGCAGAGTATATTGAGTTCCTTCAGTATAAAGCATGTAAGCAGACATCTTCTGAGATAGCTTCTGTTGTTCAAACAGGTAATAGCGTGACTTGTTTCTCCCAATCTTCATCCTCTGAGTCTTGGGTCATTGATTCAGGTGCATCGGATCATATTTCTGGTAACAAATCTCTTTTCACTACTATTTTGTATTCTCAATCTCTTCCAAAAGTCACAATGGCCAATGAATCTCAAACCATGGCAACTGTAATAGGTCAAGCAAGCCCACTTCCTTCCTTACCTTTAGATTCAGTCCTTTATGTTCCCAATAGTCCTTTTAATCTCATAGTTGTTAGTCGCTTAGCCAAATCACTTAAATGCGCTGTTTTATTTCTTGATGACCATGTTTTTATACAGGAACGCAGTACGGGGCGGATCATTGGTACCGGGCGTGAATCAAACGGACTTTATTACCTTATCCTTGCTAAATCACATGGACTCACATCTTGTCTTCCTTCTACAACTTGTCCTGTTACTGATTCACCAGATTTATTACATAAACGGTTGGGACATCCCAGTTTGTCAAAACTTCAGAAAATGGTATCTGGTTTATCTCACTTGTCAGCTCTAGAGTGTGAGTCATGTCAGCTCGGTAAGCATACCCGCTCCCATTTCCCTCGGCGTCTTGATAATCGAGCAGAGTCACCTTTTACTTTAGTCCATTCAGATGTTTGGGGTCCTAGTCGGGTCAGTTCCACCTTAGGATTCCGCTACTTTGTCAGTTTCATTGATGATTATTCCAGGTGCACTTGGATATTTTTGATAAAAAATCGATCTGAGCTGTTTTCTATTTTCCAGACCTTCCACGCTGAAATTCAAAATCAATTTGGGGTTTCTATTCGCACATTTCGTAGTGATAATGCCCGAGAGTATTTGTCTTCCCCATTTCAGCAGTTTATGAAATCTCATGGGATTATTCATCAAACATCTTGTCCGTACACATCTCAACAAAATGGGGTAGCTGAAAGAAAGAATAGACATCTTATTGAAACTGCTCGTACCCTACTCATACAATCTCATGCTCCGTTGCGTTTTTGGGGGGATGCAGTTCTTACATCTTGCTATCTTATTAATCGTATGCCATCTTCAGCTATCCAGAACCAAGTTCCATTCTCTGTCATGTTTCCCCACTTACCTTTGTTCTCTCTTCCACCCCGTATCTTTGGAAGCACTTGTTTTGTCCATAACCTTACTCCAGGAACAGATAAGTTAGCTCCTCGTGCTCTTAAGTGCGTATTTCTGGGTTTCTCGAGAACACAAAAGGGGTATCGATGCTACTCTCCTGACCTCCAGCGGTACCTTATGTCCGCTGATGTTACCTTCTTTGAAACCCAATCATACTTCACAGGTTCAGGTCATCACTTAGATATTTCTGAGGTACTACCAGTTTCATCTTTTGGAGATTCAGTCACTCCAGCTCCACCACCTACAGCTCCAGTTGTAGCTCCACCACCTATAGCTCCAGTTGTAGCTCTACCACCTATAGCTCCAGTTCCACCACCTACAGCTCCGGTTGTAGCTCCACCACCTATAGCTCCAGTTCCTCCACATAATCCAGTTCAACCTTCTGCAGCTCCACCACTCTTGACTTATCATCGTCGTCCACATCCAGCATCAGGCCCAGGTGATTCACGCCTCGCATCAGATTCTGCACCTACTGCGGACTTGTCTCCTCTTAGTCAACCAATTGCACTCCGCAAAGTTGTACGATCTACACTTAATCCTAATCCCCATTATGTCGGTTTAAGTTATCGTCTGTCGTCACCACATTTTGCTTTTATATCTTCTTTGTCCACTGTTTCTATCCCTAAGTCTACAGGTAAAGCACTGTCTCATCCAGGATGGCGACATGCTATGATTGACGAGATGTCTGCTTTACATGCGAGTGACACT